ACTCTTCCAAAGACAGTGATATTCGGTGGTTATCAGTTAGGATTGAATATCACTGCAAATTGCCATAGAGTAGCTATTAGATATTTTGAAACTGGTTGATCAATATTTAGATCTTTTATCCACTTAAATGTCAAAAGATGATGTTATTTTCAGTCTACATTTCACCCGAACCTGGATATTGGATAAAAGCACTTAAGTCTTGCCTGAATTTTACGCCGTTGGGAAATGTCCAAAGGACTATATCTGGGATCTCTAAGCTTTTGTGGTACGTGAAATTGACTAAAATTAAACATATTCTTTCTCAAAAAAGATTAAAAATAAACAAATCCCTCTTAATATGCCTCAACTTTTTATTCCAGGGTAGAGAATTTATTAAGACAGTTGAAGAAAATTTTCAACATCAATAATTGCTTGTTAGCTGAATGCTGATATTTCTATCGAACCATCAATAAGTGAAACATTTTAACTTAACACACCTCAGGCTGACATGTAGTCGAGGTTTGTGACTTATTCCTCATTATAGGCTATTATGAGATCTATCATAGACAACACATAACGTCGGTCATAGTTGTTTCTTTTACATTCTATACTGCACCTTATTTATTTATTTGAACACGTAAACATCGATACAAGGGACCATCAAATACGTACGTGCCACACAATAACAATGAAGTTGTGACGAGATAGAGAATGTTAAGTGCGTATAAAAAAAGGAGAATAACAATGAACAGAAATTAGTGTATAAGAGCGAAATAATAATAATAATAATAATAATAATGGGAGAAACAGTTCAGTTAGAAAAAATGTAAGCAGAAAAATTCTTTCAGTTAAAGAAGTTACGTTCATATTTATGAAGAAAGAAAGAGAAAGCTACAACAGGATCTCCACTAGCTTCTATTCTGAGCCATTCATAAAAACGTCTCAAACCACCGTTCTGCACCTTAACCAGGGAAGGACTCGTACAGGATCAACAGGAACCAATCCCGTGCAGCTTACTTCCATATCACGACACCATGTCATACACTGACCACTTCCGCTTTATCCAACCAGTCCCAGAGTCGGCAAATAATGCACCATATGGAGTTTTCTGGGACGACATTCGTAGGACATATGCAATCCACCGAAGTCAGTGTTTCAAAATGGTGACACCAATTAAGTTTTCACCGCTGTTCCCTGAACATGCGTTGTCTAACCACTGTATAGTCAACATGGTGATGCCACTGGATGTCAACAATCCTTCGGAGACAACGATGATCAAACAGAGAGAGACATCTAACATCCTCAACTCGAAGAGACCAAGTTTCACAATCATAGAGCAAAACTACTCTCACCGACGCATTGTGGATCTGACCTTCAACAGGCAACCTGACATCAGGAGGGCGCCAGAGATTGCCCAGGTTGGCATAAGTCTATCTGTTCACTAGCAGTGGTGAGTGCACGTATGGGGTCTTGCTAGTCGTGTAAAAGTACTCTGTACTTAGAAGGCAAAAAGCACATGCCATACTTACGGATTCTGATTGCCAACTGAACAATTGAGGATTTCATGACTTGGATATTGTCGTACAGTAAGAAAATATCCACATACTCATGGTTGTGAGGTCTTTCTCTAGGCGACAGATCCGCACCACCGTTATTTACACTCATCAGAGCTGTTTTCATCATGTCACCGATGACAAAGTTGCAGAGGAATGGTGAGATTGGGCAACCCTGTCTAACGTGACAGCTTGAATAAAACAGTGGAGAGGTGGTATTATGCCCATGCTCTGAGGTGTTTTTATATAGGGCACATCCTTCTTCAATACACGATTCCAGGGAACAGTCTTGATGTCAAGAAACACTACGATTATTGACCTGTGGTATGACGTTGTTCTAATATTTTGGCTGAGGGTGATAATATGATCCATACATCCTCAACCAGAACGATCTTGCTCCTCGCAGGCCAATCTTTCTCGGATTTTGGACAATACGACGTATGACGGAAGCCAATAGTTTGGACGCAATAGGAAATGGACTTATCCCCGGATAGTTGTTACAGAAGCGAAGTGAACTCGTTCCACAATTTTGGAACTCTCTAGTCGCCAGACTCAACTCAGTCAGTTCCTTAACCAGAAAGTCATCACTATCTTGAGAAAGGGTCGGAGGTAAGTCATCTAGGCCTGGTGATTTGTGGCGCTTCAATAGTTGGAGTTCCCTGCGGACTTCTGCCTCGTTAGGTGGACAGTCTGATCGATGTTGTCGGGGCGATAGACTAGTTGAACTGCTCCTCGAAAAACTTTGTCCATCGTCCAAGACGTCGATGAATGTTAGTGATTGGCATCCTGTCATCCCATTACAGCTTATACTCTTACTACCTCTACCACTACGGGATTTGAATCGACAACTGCATCTCTGTGCTAATATGGTATGGCAAGTTGAATTGATGTACGTACATACGTACGCAGTTCTACGTTGTTACTGACTGACTATAAGCGGCACGTTTTGCGAAGCCTCTAGCGACTGTACTTGCCATTTTCATGTCATCATGCGATTGCAATCAGTGCTCATCTATAGTTTTCGGTGCGTTGATAGGTAGCCTTGAACATAGCTCGGTTTCATATTGGTTTGCAACAGAAGCTGAAACCAATTTGCTGACATCGATCCGTTTAAGACGATGAATTCGTTGGTCACTGGAACTCAAAGTAAGATTAGTGTAAACAAGGTCATGATTTGAATCCAGATAGGTCCTCCAAAAGGGGCGGTAGTCTTATGCACAACCAAGCCAGTTGTAGCTGATCGCGATTTTGTCAGTCTGAATCCACGCTTGAGATGAAGAGGAAGCCAGGTGGCACATCAGTGATGACTGTGCCGGCCAGAAACAGGCTGTGGTCTGCATATAGTTGCAGTAGACGGTCACCGTTATCTGACCCGAGATCAAGAAGTTCCCATCGGTCACATAACTCTTCTGTGCCTAGATGCGCGACCTGAGTATTCAAGTCTCCGGCTAGTATTACAATATCTGTCGAAAGCATTTTCTGTAGAAGAACAATTAACTGGTTGTAAAACTCATCCTTGATCGCATCTGGGTTGCAGTCTTTTGAAACGTAGGTGAAGATGACGATAAGATATCGTTTCTCACACCAATTTCTTCACCCTTTGATGGAACCTTCTAATCTGACTGCACATAACCGACTGTTAATGAGGATCCAGTTGGTCAGTGCTGCTTCATTTCTAGCGCTTAGTGTGATACCAACGGCAGCAAAACTAGACAAAGATGTCACAAAGTCCCCGGAAACAAGTTTTTCGAAGTGACAGACGGAGAGCGAACTTGTAGTACTTCACTAGAGTCGTGGATACGGGTCTCAGACAGATAACATCTATCAATATTAAGACTTTCTAAAGACATAGCCAACTCTATCTGTTGTCGGATCTGTATTATTGTGAGAACGTTAGAGGAAACCAGTTTGTATGGTATACGTGGTTTCAGAAAGCCTGCTTCAGTATTCGTATTCGGTAGTAGCATTCAACTTCCGACCAGTCAGTGACTTGAGATTGTTTAGATAGGAAAGGGTTTCGACCATAGGCGAGCTGCTGTATCGATAAAAAATAAAATATGCAAAACGAGAATAAAGGGGAATACATAAATGACGTAGTTTAAAAGAAATAAATACGAATGTTATCATATCGTGAATAAGATTCGTCTGAGCGACCATTGAAGCAACAGAAATTTTTGCATTCGTAGTTATCATTGATTTGTGTGACCGCTGTGATACTGCCCGGGCACCGAAACCAAATCACGGGGTACTTCAGGGAACCACTTCCAGAGCCTTTGACCAGAAGGCTTAATCGACAAGGCGACGGAGCAACGTTAGGCGATGCAGTCCCATGATAGCCAGCGACCAATAATAGTCTCGTACGCGATTTCGTCCCTCAAGGTCCCGGAGCCCATGTACACCGTTGGCTCGGAATCAGGTTTTCCAACTTCCCTACGTGGGCCCTCCGTGTCCACTAACCCGGTTAAAGCGCCGGGCATTCGCTTTCCATCCTCTTGATTTCGTAGACAGCACCCCCGCTTCAAGAAGGCAGTGAGTTAGACTTCCCTGACAGTGGCTGTATGCACGTGGCCATGTGGGTACCTTTCGGGAGAAAAAGTAGACTCCACCCCCGGTCGTATCAGGGCATTTGGAAGCAAGTGTCATGTACCACACTTGATTCAACTAAGTACACAAATATGTATGTGTTCGCTAACTAACTAGCGTACTCACATCCTGCAGATTCAGCTTTTTTAGAGCTTCACATACTAAAATCTAAAGATATTTTTTGTTTTAGTGTTTAACAACCCATTCACATTTTTTTGTATATCTTTTCCTATTTTAGTATGAGCCGATGCTGTTTGTATTTCGATATCGTAGTTATGTTTTTATTTATTTGTGTTTTCGCTTACATTCTTAGGGCATTCCAGTTGAGAATTCTCAATTCCTCTCCTTTATCTTCCGTTCGGATAATTTAATAAGTGTGTAGATTACAGTTATTTTCTATCTTGTTATACTCCTTCAGTACGTAGCGAATTTGAGTATATTATTTAAGCAACTATTGCAGAAGTGCTCAAACTTTTTCACGATTCCCGTCAAGAATGAGTGTATATACTATTTTCTGCCTTTTTTGTGAGAAAACTGCATGTATATGGTTCAAACAACATTACATGTGATTGCTAATTGCCATCTAATAGTGTACAACTTGGTACGAATTACTGCAATTCCCTTCAACAAATTAAGGGAAAATAAACAAAGAAGTAACTGTCAATATTAGTAAGTTGAAAATAAGGAAAGAAAAATATAAAACCAAGTCACAGTAAAGTATGAAGTATGTATAATAGAGTTTTATTCATGTACATCTTGATGTTGATTGACAGTTTCGAGCGTAGAGTTTATATTTCGAATCCTTTACTTTTTATCACGTTTGACATAAAGAAAAATTATTGTATACTATGCTCTTTCATTTCAGAAAAGACAGTTACTTCCATAATGGCAATTCCTGATGAAGTATTTGATCTTGTTTCAAAAGTTTCGAATGGAAATGGAAATATGGCGGATTATGAACGCATTTGTTTGATTCTATCTAATCTGACAACTACAGAACTGAGTTCTGTTTTTCAAAAATGTGATATTTTAAAAGCATTGATGTCAATTGATTTACATGACAAGTTTGTTTAACCTACTACGCAATAATCGTTTTGCTTTTAGACAGTCTGCTCAAATAGCGATTAAATTAGCTTCCATTGTATTCTCCCTCATACCTTTATTTGACTTTGTCCAATCTCATCAAGAAGAATTGCTTTTAATACTTGGATCGACGAAACTCGATTTGATTGAATTTATTTTGAAAAGGGTAATCGCATCCTTACATTTCAGTCATGCATGAAGCTAAGAGCTGGTGTAATTGAACCTAGTTGTTCAGTAGACAATCTACCGGAATGCATTTTAAAGTCAATAACTAGATTAGTTCTTCATGAAAAACTTTCTTTATCCATGGAAGCCCAAAATTTCCTGATAACTTTGGGTAACAATAAAAAAATGAAACATTCTAACTGTCTTCTTTAGCTACAAAATGTCCACTTGGTCTAAAAAGCGTTTTAGGGCCCAATGTGGTCGGTGCATTAAGTCCACTGTGTTCTAAATCTGAACATTTAATACGAGTTTCTGAAGTAAGTTGTCAAAAACTTTATTTTGTGTATTAAGTTTGCTGTACATCTAGTTTCCAAACAACCTGAAGTGTTCAATGATGTTGAAAATTCTGGTTTGTTTCAACCTATTTTGGATGGTTTAAATTCAAGAGATCCTCTAGTTCGCTTGAATTGGTTAGAATTAGGGAAATCGCTGACTATTTCAGAGACTGGCTATCACTTTCTGAATAGAAAAGGTGTGTTCTCTAGATTATTGGACGATTTGTATTCTTCTTCTTCGGATCCATCAGGTGATTTACTACTTCCAGGTGAGTTCGAATACATGGTTTATTTCAGAAATCCCAAGAAATTAGACAGTATATATAATTTCTACATAATAAACACAATTAAATCAATACATTTGCGATGCAAAATTCTATCAATTTACCTCCAGTTTTTGCGAGGGCGCAAATAGTTCTCCTATCATGACCACACTGCCCAAACTTTGTTAGTGCGATTATAATATATCTAATCTACCTACATAAGTTGTGGAAAGACGAATACTGTTAGGAAAAAGATACTAAGAGATCCCACAGACAAGCATACACATGTAACACGTTAAGCGTAAAGAAAATATGTATCAGTGTGAGTTATCACACTTTACATCAGTTCGATATAAGTAAATAAACAAACAAGCAAAATGAAAATCTTACTGCTAACAAACAGTAAATGAAGAACAACAAAGACAAACGTTAGAAGGGGCAAATAAAGTTATGGTCAAAACTTGTCTAATAATATTATGTTCAGGACATAGAGAATAATAAATGTAGCTGACTGATTTACAGTCGTTTAACTAAAAGCCACCAACCTTAGGTTTTGATTACTTCATTTGGAATCTAAACCTCTCTATGAGACCTATATCAACAGTTGATGACATCATGTTTTGTTACAGAAACTACTAGCGCCTTTTCAACTTACTTCTGTCCTACTGATTGTAACACCTTTCGGCGTTTTGTGTCGCTGCATCTACAAGAGATAGAGGTTCATGTCTTCACCAACTGATTTATGAAGATATACATAAAATAGAGATTGTGTAGATATAGGGGAAAATTGTGCTTGATTATTTTCAGTATATATATATATATATATATATATATATATATATATATATATATATATATATATATATATATATATACCATTGGTCGATTTAGAGATATCTTTAGAATTGTAACTTCAAGTGGTTTTCGATAGGATTATTTACCATCAGAATTTTTATTTAACTTCTTCATAAGCAATCCTTTAGGGTTAACACTTTCTTCGTCTAACTTTCCACGGACTCATCCTTAATCGGCTTAGAATACGTAAATGAGATAGTCATGTTTGACGAGGTTACTGATAAACTGTAGCCTTCTGATTGTCCTGAGAAATAATCCAAACATGTTTGGGATGCGTTTCTCTTCCGCTTAGTTCAAAATATTGCTTCAGGACTAGTTTATGTCATCTAAAAGCTAGCTTGGTTTTCAACAACATGTGCCACTTGTGGCTCAGGCGTAATATTTGTATCCCAACAAAAGAGCGAGTATGCTGTGCAGCAATTTGATATACTTTTTTGTGGCTGTGAGATGCAGTCTTAACAAAATATCATCCAGGCAACATGAACCATATTTAAACTTCTACATAATATAATCCTTGTTTTATATCAGACGTAAATGTTTTATACAAATCCTTATCACCGTCTTTTATGCAACCTGTATTATGTATTATCGTTTTTGGTCTCATGTAATTTATGTGATTATTCGTTTTTTTTAAAAATAATAGTCTATCAATTTCACTTTTTTTGAAAGGATACATTGGATTTTTTGGTAGTCTTGCTGAGCGAAACCCTGACCATTGGTTAGGGTCAAAAAGCGATGGAAGGTTTAAGAATGTATTGTCAGATGCGGTCGATAATAATGCTATGGTGGCATTTGAATCTATTAGCTGTATAGCGACTACACCAACAGGTCGGATTACCTTAGATAAGTTATTTGGTGAGTATGATTAAAGTTATTTTGTTTCACTTCATTCCCCAACGTTAACTGTTGTTTCAATGTACAGTACTATTTGTTTTCGTGTCAGTTATGATGGTAGTCGCTTTATTCAATATTATATCTTTCGTTACTGTAAGTACAGTTTTTAAGAAATACCCCTTTGTATCACATATTTAAATTACAAACATTTTTAATAATTCGAATCAAATCCATTCGAAATATTTTCACTGTAATACCTGAAGAGATAAATACAGGGTTAATGTCACATTGAGAATACCATTACCCTGTGGGGTTCCTTTCCAAGTTGAATACTACTTTCTCTTATTATACAGTCGTAAGTATCATTCACAATGACCGATTTCGTGTCAATCGTCCAAGTATTTAAACTTTAGAAATCAATGGGCCATCTGGTAAATTGTTTCCAGGTTAATCCAGTCAAAACATTTGAGCTAGAAACGTCATTTTTTTAAAAAAACAATTACTCGGTACCGTAGTTTTTGTCTGAGAAAAACTTAAAAACATTTTTACACCATATTGTACTTGACTATACTCGGTAGATAAGTTAAGTGATAATTTGATTATTAGTATGTGGACTAGAGGTGTGACAATAAATTATCTATTTGTAAATACAGTGCATATACTATGCTCATTTACTTATTGATCAAAACTTTAAGATTCGTTCAATTTTGATTTTAGCTAAAGGTGGCTCATTTGATAATGTTTTGAACAAGCTTTTTGTATTTATTTCCAATTCACCAACTGAGATATGCACTCGAGCTGTCGAATGCTATAGTTTTCTTCTACGTCGACCTGATGGGATAGATTCAGAAGGCTTATTTGCCGATGCTGTACTTTCTCTTAACTGGGCAATAATTTCTTGTCAAAAAAGCATTGATATAACGAATTCCAATTCAGTCGAAGATAAAGAACTATTGATTGCTCCACTACTGAAACGCCTTTATGCTCTTGCAACTCAACCATTTTTTGAGGTGCGTGTAGCAGTATTCAAAGCTATCGATGCGATCGTAACGCAGGTAAGTTTAGCAGTTTATCGTTCACTTCATTTTTCTGTGTATTCTTTTCTATGTATTGATTTAATTAATTGTGATCATGTACATGTTTTTGCATTCAGTCATGAACCACCAAAGTAGACTAAGTGAAGTTGGAATCTATTGCTTACTGTCTTAGCCACTATGTCACTATTCCATACCAGTCACTTGCATCGTTGAGGGAACTTTTATCCCTGAAGTTTAGGGTTTACGGAGAGTATAGAAGCCGGGATTCAAAGTATTGTCTTTTTTAACGCCAACCATCTAATTCAGTCTATGACAAATATAAATAATAAAAACAAGATAGTAAATGTTCTTATTGTAGCTACATATCGATACTCCTATATTTCGTGTATCAATCGGCTGTATAACCGTTATTACTACCACTCCCAACGGTGTATAGTTTCCAGAAGCCAAAACGAAGTAGTCGGAACAGGTTATTCCAAACGCCGTTCAAACTAAACGATAAAGAAGCACACAGTAAGAAAGGTAATTTAGTGAAAGTGGTTTAACAAGCAAATATGTATGCGTATGCAAATGAGTCATCAAGCGTTTAAGCAGGTTAGGGAAATACATAGGCTGCCACATTCAATCAATCATATATGGCAATTTATGCAAACATGATGATATTTGTGAAGATATAGTCGAACTATTTCGGATTAGAATAACTCTACCAAATAGGTCAGTTCAAGAGCTTAATTAATATGAATATATGCATTAACTTGTTTGAGGGTAAGACTGTTATAACGAGCTACCCCTGAAAACAAATACAAATCAGAGTGTCCACGTCCAAAAACAATAAATGCAGTAAACAGGACAGAATACGAATGGTACATAGAAATGATAAGCACATTAGTATTATCAATCGTTGAGATCACGAGTCAGTTGAAGCTAGACCACCATGGAAAACCTGGAAGCATTGGACGGCCTTTTCGTCCTATTGTGGGACTCCTAAGCAGTGCGCATCCACGATCTTATTCCCCGTGAGACTCGAATCCAGCACCTACCAGTCGTGTGCTTCCAGGTTTTCCATGGTGGTCTAGCTTCAACTGACTTATGATCTCAACCATTGAAACTACTATCATATCCACAAAACCCTTCTGATATTAATCAACAATAGTATCAGTCACTAAAAATCAGTCTACATACTTGATATCAAAATATTGGAAATGTTCTTATGGATAAGAATTAATAAAACGGTAATAAATATGTAGGAATTATAAAGTTTATTCAAGTGGTAGAATGTTTGTACGGCGAATAATATGAAAATTGTAGAAGAAGAGATTGACTATAAGATAAAACTTACAGTATTAAAATAAAGAAAGGCCAAACTAAACAAAAACAAAAGGCATTTAGCGAAGAAAATTTTCTTTTTGACAAAATCATTTACTTAAGCTATACATTCGTATTTATAGTTGTGGTAAATATATGCCTATAAAAGGATTCCATCGGGAAGAAAATTTTCTTCGTTGAATCCTCTTTAATTTCATTCACTGACACTATGGGTTATTTGAATTAATTTTTAATTCGGAAAAAACGTCACCAGAACAAAGCAAACTGACGGCAGTGTCTTTTTGAATAAGTTTAGTTTATGTCATTTGATATAAATATCCTACCATTTGAATAGATTTTATAATTCCTTCATATTTATCACCGTTTTATTAATCCTTATCCATAAGAACATTTCCAATATTGTGATATCAAGTATATAGACTGATTTTTAATGATTGATACTATTGTGTTTAGGTTGTAGGCAACTGTTGGGAAACCATCAAATAAAAAGAATTCAGGTAATTCTGTTACGTTCGTTGTTCTTGCTCTATTTAAATTTATCGTGTTTAAATAAAATAACGAGACTGACTGAAGAATAGGGTGGATTCATTGTATTCCGTTGTTTTCTCTTCAACTAAATACAAGTTAATAAGTCTGATTAATTTAAACTATTAACATAATTTTAAGTTTGAAAATGAATTGTCCGACAGTAAGTAACAAGATGCATAGGATATGAATGTTAATATGGTTAAGAGTTAAATTTTAACAGGATTTTCCTAATGTTAAGTGTGACAGTTCTAGAATATTTTAAAATAATTTTCATAATGTAATAAAGTATCTAAAAGGTGTAGAAAGAAATAAACTAAGCTGAGAAAAGACTGAACTCACTAGTTTATCATTATAATAAATTGGATTAAAAAGGGAGGTCGAAATTCTTTGGGTACTTAGGTTAATCAGTTACTCTGTTTGAGCACATAGGCTAGATTTAAACCTTTTAGTTGCTATGGCTCCCGCAAATTTTGATTATATAGAATCAGATAATCATGTGGTTTTTTCGAATGCTCTCATTGCATCCACTTCATTAGATGTAGTACTATAGAACTGCGAAGAAAATTTTTTCCTTTGATCTGAAGGTTCTTTAGAGTATATTCAATTAAACCTGTAGATGTCCATCTTTCTTCCTGATTTTTTGCAAGTACATATGAATTGATATAACCAGTTAAAGGTGATAGATCTTCCTATAAATGTCAATCCACCAACGACAGAAGAAATCAGAATGGCCGTCAGACAAATCAAGAGCGGGAAAGCAGCAGGACCTGACAATATACCAGCTGAAGCACTGAAGTCAGACATCGAAGTAACTACAAGCATGCTTCATATTCTATTCAAGAAGATTTGGGAGGAGGAACAAGTGCCGATGGACTGGAAGGAAGGACACCTCATCAAGATTCCAAAGAAAGGAGACCTGAGCAAGTGTGAAAAATTCAGAGGCATTACACTACTGTCAATACCGGGTAAAGTCTTCAACAGAGTGTTACTGAACAGGATGAAAGACGCAGTTGACGTTCAACTTCGAGATCAACAAGCTGGATTCCGTAAGGACCGGTCGTGCACAGACCAGATTGCGACACTACGGATCATCGTCGAACAATCAATTGAGTGGAACTCGTCACTCTACATCAACTTCATTGATTATGAGAAGGCATTTGACAGTGTAGATAGGAGGACGTTATGGAAACTTCTTCGACACTACGGAGTTCCTGAGAAGATTGTCAACATTGTCCGGAACTCATACGATGGACTACAGTGCAAAGTAGTGCATGGAGGACAGCTGACAGATGCATTCTAAGTAAGGACCGGAGTCAGACAAGGCTGTTTACTCTCTCCCTTCCTGTTTCTTCTGGTGGTCGACTGGATTATGAAGACCTCGACATCTGAAGAAAAACACGGCATACGATGACAGCTCAGGACCAATTGGACGATTTAGACTTCGCAGATGACCTAGCCCTCCTTTCGCATACACACGAACAAATGCAGGTAAAGACAGCCAGTGTAGCAGCAGTCTGTGCATCAGTAGGCCTCAACATACACAAAGGGAAAACCAAGGTCCTCAAACACAACACGGTGAACAGCAATCCAATCACTCTTGATGGCGAAACTCTGGAAGACGTGGAATCCTTCACATACCTGGGAAGCATCGTCGATAAACAAGGAGATTCAGATGCAGACGTCAAGGCGAGGATTGGCAAAGCTAGAGCGGCATTCCTTCAACTGAAGAACATATGGAACTCAAAACAACTTTCAACCAATATCAAAGTCAGAATCTTCAATACGAACGTCAAGGCAGTTCTACTGTACGGAGCTGAAACTTGGAGAACTACAACAACCACCATCAAGAAGGTACAGGTATTTATTAACAGCTGTCTACGCATGATACTCAACATCCATTGGCCGGATACCATCAGCAACAGCCTTTTGTGGGAGAGAACCAACCAGCTTCCAGCTGAAGAGGAAATTAGGAAAAGACGATTGAAATGGATAGGACATACATTGAGGAAATCATCAAACTGCATTACGAGACAAGCGCTAACTTGGAACCCTGAAGGGAAGTGGAAAAGAGGAAGGCCAAAGAACACATTACGTCGGGAAATGGAAGCAGATATGAAAAAGATGAATAAGAACTGGAAAGAGCTTGAAAGGATTGCTTTGGACAGGGTTGGATGGAGAATGCTGGTGAGCGGCCTATGCTCCTTCACGAGGAGTAACAGGCGTAAGTAAAGTAAGTAAGTTAAAGGTGATATGTGCTAGCTATTTGTCTACTTAAGTTTGTGTTATTAGACATCGCATTGTATGCAACAGAAACAATTTAGCAGCAGAAAATGTGTCCTTCAAAACTGTCTTTAGTCTTTGATTTTAATCATAATCACGTGGCTCACGCCTAACATGAATGTATAGTCAAGCCAAATCACATGAATATGGTGTACCACCTGTCTCCATAATTAATTCTTTGTCATAAATTGACCCGATGGCTAGCTAGCAAACTGGAACCAACTCATAAGAAGTTGGCTGAATACAGTTTAAGTGATACGTTTGAGATTGCAGTAATTAAAAAATTAAATATATCAAATAAACTTATGGTTTCGTACGAAATATCTTCACCGTTTGCCATTATCCCTTTGAAAAAAACAATTGATATTATCAGCCAACATTCACAACACATGTCCATACCGCAGATACAATTTAGACAGCTACTATACCTATGCACAGAAAATGTCCAGTTCTAATTTAATGGTAAGTTATACTGTCAAGCAGATGGTCTGGCTATGGGAATCCCTTCACGACCAGTCGTAGCTGATATATTCATTTTAAATGTATAAGGTTCAAAATAAATGTCTTCTATCAACGAAATTGAACTTTATGTAATGTGCGTTGATGATACTTTCGTATTGTTCAACGGCATAAATTATGTAAGCCAAATATTTGAAAATTACAACTAAGTCCATCCCAGCGTCTAATTCACATTGGAACATAAGAGAATAGATGTTCTGCACCGTAGATCTAAGTGTCTCTCGAAGAAATGATGAAACCTGTGAAAGATACATATATCGGAAAAAAACGTGGAGTGGGCAATACTTTCATAGCCTTCGCTCTTTAAGTTATAAATACGGACACAAACTTAAATTAATCATCTTGTACTATGTTGTATACCTATCACCTTTTTCTTTGTGTGAACAGCCCTGGGGAGTTCGACAAATAACACGACAACCCGGATTTTTCGAATATTTGCTTAATCGTCAAACGGAACTGGGATTTCCAGATAAAATAAAACTTGTTCAAGCCAAATTAGACATTATGAACAATATGCTGAAAACATACAAAGTATGGGGTTGTAGTGAATGTAAATCATTCCAGAATTTGATTGACAGACAACAGTTGAAACTAATACAGCTTTATATAAAGGAAGGATTATGGGGTGTTATAAAATCTGAGGCTGCGGTGGCTCTTGAACCTGGTTAACTGATTGATAATGTAAACAATATATATGTAAACATATTATTCTTCTTTGTTGGTTGGTTTTCCTAATTGTTGTAATTTGTAACTTCTAATGATATGATTCACGTATCAATTCTTTAAAATAAGAAATTTTTAAAACAACCGACCAGCTAGTAAGTGCTTCAGGATAGTCGTTGACTAGTGTATTAGTTCAATAGAGATCTTAAGACAAACTGATATAAAAACCAGTTTATCAATTGAACCTGTCCATAAATTCTGCACAGAACAAAATCAGCACAATTATATATCGTTGATAAGTACCAAGGATTCGTAGTATGATGGAGTATTTTAATTTTTTAGAAATCAGACTACAAACAGTAGAATTCAAGAGAATATTATGTATCTTACAAAACATCCAGACAAGTCCATTGAATCGACCAGTCTAGTCTCACAATAAACGGCAATAGCAGTTACTCAGCGTACTGAAGGGTAGTTGATGATTAAACGTGGTCAAGAACTGTCCCCGAAGTGAACGTATAGTCTCACTGAAGTCAGAACAATAGTCTTAGTCACTGATCTTGCTTTTAAAATCACTAGCCTGAAGTGGATTTACTATGATAAATACTATCTCATAGTTAAACCAACGGGATAACGCAATAATTCATTTATTATTAACGCTAAAATTCGTTGCAAGAACGTTACTGTTAACAAAAAAAGTGATAACATATTTCTTGGTACTTATTACTACATGTTCGACAGTCATTGATATCTGGAATCAGAATTAAAAATTTACTTTTATAATTCTCCCTGAGTAAATTACTCTGAGGCATACGTTAGCCCTCAAGTTGATTCCAGTAATCACGATGACAGTGGATGAAACATATGCGTCATATCTAACTCCGTATATCTCTTGTCAACTAATTAAATTAACACAACGTTGAGGTCAAATATTATCATTATTAATATTTTAACACATAAACACCAGTACAAGAGGGAACCAAATATACATGCACCACACAACAAAAGTGAGATTGTAAAGAGATAAAGAAAGTAAAGCATAAAAATGAAACACCAATGAATAGATATTAGTGTATAAGAGCGAAATAATAATAATGTTAGGAAAAGCAGTGCAGTTAGGAAAAACAACCGGAAACAATTCTTTTCACGAATTTATTGTCTCTTTTATGAAAAAAGTAAGTGATGTGAACCGGGAAACAAGAAGCCCTGACAAACTACGAAAGCTATTTTTCGGGACGTTATTTCAGTTTATTCAAAGCTTGTAAAACACTGACATTTATTTTTGTCCCTTTTCTATTCTACAGAACATAAGCTTTCGTTCGAAGTATCATTCACTGCCATACCTTTTTCTGTTCCGAAGCTATTGTAATTTAAACATATTATTTTGCACCCTATTTTCTACTCGAATTCCCAGCTTTGGACATAATTGTATTTTTCCTAATTATTGTACGTTGCGGTCGGGTTATTCACTTATTTATTCATGTACCTTTTTACACTAATCTGAATTCAGTGGTCAGGGAAATAGATCGAGTAGTGTTCCAGTTGTCTTGTCTTCTCTCATTCGTGTGCTTGCCCACCAATCAGGTGACAGAATAGTTATCTTCTCTCTACCCCATCTGGAACTCACGCGTACTAGTCTCAAGGTTAAGCCGATCAGCCTATCGCATCAAGGTCGAAATCTAGATTAGACAAGTATCCTCGGCACCAAAAAGTGGGTAGACAAATCAAGGTCATAACAGTAAGAGAAAGCTACAACAGGATCTCCACTAGCTTCTATTCTGAGCCATTCATAAAAACGTCTCAAACCACCGTTCTGCACCTTAACCAGGGAAGGACTCGTACAGGATCAACAGGAACCAATCCCGTGCAGCTTACTTCCATATCACGACACCATGTCATACACTGACCACTTCCGCTTTATCCAACCAGTCCCAGAGTCGGCAAATAATGCACCATATGGAGTTTTCTGGGACGACATTCGTAGGACATATGCAATCCACCGAAGTCAGTGTTTCAAAATGGTGACACCAATTAAGTTTTCACCGCTGTTCCCTGAACATGCGTTGTCTAACCACTGTATAGTCAACATGGTGATGCCACTGGATGTCAACAATCCTTCGGAGACAACGATGATCAAACAGAGAGAGACATCTAACATCCTCAACTCGAAGAGACCAAGTTTCACAATCATAGAGCAAAACTACTCTCACCGACGCATTGTGGATCTGACCTTCAACAGGCAACCTGACATCAGGAGGGCGCCAGAGATTGCCCAGGTTGGCATAAGTCTATCTGTTCACTAGCAGTGGTGAGTGCACGTATGGGGTCTTGCTAGTCGTGTAAAAGTACTCTGTACTTAGAAGGCAAAAAGCACATGCCATACTTACGGATTCTGATTGCCAACTGAACAATTGAGGATTTCATGACTTGGATATTGTCGTACAGTAAGAAAATATCCACATACTCATGGTTGTGAGGTCTTTCTCTAGGCGACAGATCCGCACCACCGTTATTTACACTCATCAGAGCTGTTTTCATCATGTCACCGATGACAAAGTTGCAGAGGAATGGTGAGATTGGGCAACCCTGTCTAACGTGACAGCTTGAATAAAACAGTGGAGAGGTGGTATTATGCCCATGCTCTGAGGTGTTTTTATATAGGGCACATCCTTCTTCAATACACGATTCCAGGGAACAGTCTTGATGTCAAGAAACACTACGATTATTGACCTGTGGTATGACGTTGTTCTAATATTTTGGCTGAGGGTGATAATATGATCCATACATCCTCAACCAGAACGATCTTGCTCCTCGCAGGCCAATCTTTCTCGGATTTTGGACAATACGACGTATGACGGAAGCCAATAGTTTGGACGCAATAGGAAATGGACTTATCCCCGGATAGTTGTTACAGAAGCGAAGTGAACTCGTTCCACAATTTTGGAACTCTCTAGTCGCCAGACTCAACTCAGTCAGTTCCTTAACCAGAAAGTCATCACTATCTTGAGAAAGGGTCGGAGGTAAGTCATCTAGGCCTGGTGATTTGTGGCGCTTCAATAGTTGGAGTTCCCTGCGGACTTCTGCCTCGTTAGGTGGACAGTCTGATCGATGTTGTCGGGGCGATAGACTAGTTGAACTGCTCCTCGAAAAACTTTGTCCATCGTCCAAGACGTCGATGAATGTTAGTGATTGGCATCCTGTCATCCCATTACAGCTTATACTCTTACTACCTCTACCACTACGGGATTTGAATCGACAACTGCATCTCTGTGCTAATATGGTATGGCAAGTTGAATTGATGTACGTACATACGTACGCAGTTTTACGTTGTTAAATATAATATGGTAGTTGAATAGACGCAGAAAGGAGATAGTAGTAGCCTATTCAAAATGTTTATATACGGATCACGTATGTATGCCAAATAGATAACGCACAGATTATAGATAAGGGGAATAGACATACAATTATACATTTATAAGAACGTCCGTTAACAGTGAATACTTGACAAGAACGAACAAGTTATGTATAGTAGGTCACGAAATACGTAGTCAGCGTAGAATGATTAGTCTGTCAAAAAGTTAGGACAAATCCACATAGGCGTTAATAAGGTTTCTAAACAAGTCACCAAATAATCGTCTCATCGATTCAATGGAAAACTCGCAGGCAATGCATCTCTAGGTTTTTTATAGGCGTATCATTTTCGTTGACATTTTCTCTCCCGCTTGTGTCATTATGATAGGATAGCAAGGATTATTACCCCAAATTTAGCATAGACAACTAAAATAAGCGTCAGTCAAATGCATGTTTAATAGTGACGTAGTTGTCCTACCCATAGTTTTCTGAAGTTCATGGAATTTACAAATTTATTCACACTTAATTGGTTCGAATTTTTAAGCATAAAACTCTCAAGTACACACCTGACAAGCTTGATGGAGATTGACACCGTTTAGTGACATCCATTAGCGGTATGTATATAGTCGGAATCTAGACTCTACATGAATGATTGAACTATATTTCACTTTTAGAAATGGTAATCGACTGGCCGATACCGTTACATAGTGGTAATTCTACGAAATCTTTGCAAATTCACCTGTCTATTGTTGTATCTCTTTATTGTGATCATACACTGACTACTTCAAATGAAAAATACGGAGGCATACATTGAAAAATATATATTTACAATTTTCTCTCAATGTGATGATATTCAATCCTCAGCAACTTTCCTCTTTTTATTGTCATTTTTGATATCTGGTTGACGTTTTCGTTTGAGAACACGCACTTTTTGACTGTTCTTTGGTGAAGGCACTGTTCTAATTGTTGACTTAGATTTATTACCGTTATTCTTGAGAGACTTCTTTTTGGCGTTGACTTCATTTCGTTTTGGTTCGGTTGCTTTATTCGCCGGTTTCTTTTTCATTAAGGCTTTTTCTTTACGCTTTTGTTGACGTTGTTTCTTGAGTTCCATTTTAAGACGCAATTTTTCTTGTCGACTTTCAGATTCATTAAATACGCTTTAATAAAGAATCAGAAAAGAAAAATGATAGATGTCATATACTTCGGGATTTAGAATAAGGCAAAAACAAGAACTTCGAAAAATGAAACAACACTGATGTTACGTCTTCTGCTTGGTTACGACAGAATACGATATACAACTGAGGACACTCGAACGTGTAGAACACCACCGTCGCAAATCAGAAGACGGATGAAGCAGGGGAAGTGATTATTGGGTAAGAATCAAAAATGTGCAGACAAACATGAGTATTCATAGCTATTAGTATTGGCTGTGACATGATTCAGCCAATCCGCAAGAAGTAGTTATGCTCTCGTCCAACTGTAGAATGCTACATTGATGTTCTAGAAGCCCCTATCAAGTTCTGGAGGCTTCTTCGTGCTTCTTGGAGACGTCCCGACAGTTGGTACAGTTGATTTTTGGGATACAAATAAGATAAATAAATGCCCATACAATTAAAGTGACTTGCTAGCTAAACGGCAGTATTAACAGTGAC